AAATATATTAACGTAAAAAAATTGAGAGGTATTCCCCACACAGTCCCTAAAACACTCCGCAATTAATTTTACGCCCGTCAGAAATATATCAAAGGAACACGAATGTTAAAACGTCAAAAAGCGAGATTTGACACAATTATGATCATTATTATTGTATTCTAATTTAAGATGATAGTGAAAATGCTGGATACTGTAAAAGATAATTTATATTTGGAGAGAGAGAGAGAAAATGATCATGCGGAGAAAGGTATATAACGAAAAAATAGGAAAATAATGGGCAAAATCCGCAAAAAGTAGATTCGAGCAGAAAATAGGATAGGTAACCCGAGCGATACGTATTTCTGCTGGTTGGCTTCATCAGGCCCGAAATGAATGCACATATGCAACTACAAAAGTAAATACACGTTAATAACATATAGCAACAATCTCACATACGACTGTAGGTTAATTTAAAATCATTTTGCATAGTAGTTGCTATTTCTTCTCAATGTTATTGCAGCTCCTGATGAAGATGGCAAAGTCCATTGAAAGCTAGAGATTAAAAAAGTATGAAGAGTCCTCGTTGCTTGAATTTTGTCGAAGTACCCAACAGAAGGCGGAAGCTTTATTTCTCACCTAGCTGGTCTAAACGACAATGACCACGTCTAAAGTTATTGCATTTTATCATCGAAATATGCTTGTTCCACGTGCTTTTTTGCATCAACTGCGTTCTGGCTTATGTCGGCAGTGTAGCTAAAGCAGGTAATAAAGTAAAAAAAAAGAATAAAGATAAATGTCCTAGTACAAACAGCATTCCGGCCTATAAGAAAAAAGCTCTCCCACTTGCTGGTGTAAAGTATGGCCAGCCGTTTCCTTTTCGGTTACCGCCTATGTGCTCAGGATTCACATTAAAGGTATTTACATCGAAGGAACTACAAAGAGGCGGATGCTCGTAGCTCCGATACCCGTGCAAGCTAAAACCAAGTCGCTACCTGCTTGCCCTTGCAACAGTTACAGGAAAAAGTAAAGCTTTTTTTATTGTTAGAAACTGCAGAAGTTTCAGCCGCCCAGATTAACTGTCGGTTCTGTGCCCTGCATTTATTAGATAGAAATTTTAATGTGCATCATTAATTTGGAACCCAATTTACAACTGCTACATCGATTATCTCAAATTTTTACGGTGTATATCCTGAGCGGGGTATTATTGAAAGTTTGTTATTGTCTAGGTTTCAAATGCAGTCTTTAGGGCTGAGAAGGAAGCGGGTGTCAATTATTTTCTTGCTCAAACTGCTACACGATCAAATTGATGCTAATGAGATTACGGTTCAATGCTCAAAATCGTACAGTTAAAACTTTTTACTGTGACAGGGCGTTCACAAATTTATTTCTGAAAGCATCCATATATACAATGTGTGAAAGTTTTAATGCCAAATCTAATTATTGTGATACACATGCTGACAGTTTGATCAGCATCCTGGAAGTAGGTAGGTGCTAGGAATTACTTGAATTTATGATACGATTCTCACTTGAGTGAAATATACTGAGTGACAAACAAAGGTAAACACCTACGTATGTTTATTAGAATTCAAGAGTTCTTTAAATATCGATTTATCTTGCCATGAACAACAACGAATAAAATGGTCAGGTTTTTTTTGGTGGTTCCATGTATTGTTTGGTGATAAAAAAGCGTTCAGTTTATTATTCCATACCTAAACAACATCCACATCCACAATCCAGAGCACCGTTAGCCTTCATGGATCAACATCGCATCGACCGTTTACTTTGACCACCACGATCGCCCGACCTGTCTCCAACTGAACATGTCTGGGACATGATAGATCGCAGGCTCTAGAATTTGTAACAGGATATCGACCACCTTATCATCACGATGCTGAAGCGTGTCAATGGGTGTATGAGAAATCGTGGACCCTCAACACATTGTTGAACCAGATTTTGCAGTCAGTTGACGAGTCAAGCCAACAATTTAATCATTTTACTAGTGAAGGATACTGAACATATACAGGGTGTTTCAGTTTATTATTGCATAACTTTAAGATTCGATAGAACTTTTAAAATTAAAGCATAAAGTCTATATAAACATGGGTCGAAAAATGCGTGGCTTCCGAAATATAGGATGTTTAAATTTACTTTCTAAAATAGTTTTTTTAAATATTTCGAACAATATTTGATGTAAAACAGTGAAAATTGGTATACAAGGATTTTTTGGTACGACAAATATTAATTATATTAATAATATTTCGATTTTTAAGGTTCGATGCATTTTTAATTATTTATGATGAAATAACGTTAAAAAGTCAGTATCTTGATAATTTTTAGAAGTAGGCTGTGGCAGCAAATATTTTTGAAATTGAAAGCAGAATAAGGTTAAACGTCAATTAGTTGACAGTTAGTTTTGTTGTCTGTTGAAACCTTTTTTGCAATTGTGAATGCACGAAATTTAGTTTCTTTTACCTGTTTTTTTTGGTAAGTTTTATAAAAATGCCATTTTTATTCTCCAATCAAGAGTTAGCGGATATTCATTTTGTGTATGGCATTGTAAATGGAAACGCAGCAGAACCAGCCAGAGAATACGCACGAAGATTTCCAAACAGACGACATCCAACTCGCTCAGTATTTGTAAGAGCGCATCGCCAAATAATTGAAAATGGTTTTGGAAATCTCCAAAGGGATCAAAACATAAATCTTCGTCAGCGCAGATTTACCCGTATGATTCTGTGTGAGTTTGATAGAGATCCGACCACAAGTGTTATGAGAGTTTCTGGTGCCTTGGGAATTTCAGCAAGCCATGTTCACCGTGTTCTTAGAAATGACCATAGACGTCCATACCATACGTGTGCAAGGACTACAGCCAGGGGACGGAGAACGAAGAATCACATTTTGTCAGTGGATTCTTGATAGAACTGATAATAATAGGGAGTTTTTAAGTAACGTTTTATGGACCGATGAGTCATGCCTCACTAGACGTGGAGTGGTAAATTTTCATAATCAACATATTTGGTCGCATGAAAATCCGCATGCAGTTCGGGAAAGAAATTTTCAGCATGAATTTAGTGTGAACGTGTGGATTAGTATCTACCGTAATCGACTATTTGGATCCCACCTTTTGCCTGCAAGGTTAAATGCTGCGACCTTCTTGGAATTTTTAAAGGCTGAACATGCAAATATGTGGGATGATGTTGTGTTAGATTTAAGAAGATTGGCCTGATTCCAGCTTGATGGTTGTCAAACTGATTATTCGAGAATAGTTAGAAACTGTCTGGACGAAAATTATCCAGAAATATGGATAAAAAAAAGGTGTTCCAGACTCCTGTAACCACAAGAGATATGCTAATAGACATAATCAGGAATGCATGTGATAAAAATAAGGCCTTATTTGAATAATGCTATACCACGTTCGATCATTCGTAGATGTGAATTGTGTATTGAACAATTGGGTTTACATTTCGAGCAACTACTTTAGATTTTGTATGTTTGTCCTAACTATCTAATAGCATTTTAGTTGTAAATAATTAATTTAATTTGTTAAAAATAATATTGGAAAGTTAAACAAATTAATATTCTGTTTTTTTGTGTTTATTTGGAGTTAGGAATTATTGCTGTGTTTAAAAACACAATATAAACGATCATCTTAATTATTTGTAATGCCAAAATCGAAAATGTAAAAAAAAATATTATTTTCCCATAAATAATTAAAAATGCATCGAACCTTAAAAATCGAAATATCTCAAAAACGGCTAACTATAACGAAAACTCACAGGAGAGCTTTTTTATCTTTAAAAGTGCGAAGAATCAGTTTTTTTATTCAAAAAGCATTTCGGAAGCCACAGATTTTTCGACCCATCCTTATATAGACTTTATGCATTAACTTTAAAAGTTCTATCAAATCTTAAAGTTATGCAACAATAAACTGAACCACCCTGTATGCTAAAAATTATTAAAATCGGATAAACATACGTAGGTTTTTACCTTTTCTGTCACTCTGTATATGTTTTTAGCTTCTTTTTCTTTTTTTTCCCATTAGACAGAATCACTTGCTTTTTGTACGTCTTTTATTTTTGATTATGATTTTATACATTCCGTTTTATTGAACTAGTTCGTCCGCGAACTCTTCAATTATATCAATTATTATCGTCCCTCGCTTATGGTGAATGTGCTACATATTTAGCGAGCATTCATCATAATTTAAACCAATAATGCAAGCGCTTGCAAGTATACTTTTCAGAAAAAAGTCCCCGTTTTATTTTTTGCTACAGAACAAGTTAACAAGTTGAAATCCAGAGTGGTGGAACTGATGCCTCACAGTACCACCAGAAGCCACAGCCTGTTGTTCTATCAACGCCAACCTGAGTCCTATATATCCGTTGCTGTCAACATTTAGGGATATCCGATTTACTTATACCAGAGTTCCCCAAACTTTTTTGTGTCGTAGACCCCTTGCCATGTTTTTCCGTATAGGGTAGACCCCCTACTTACCTGATATTGATTTCCTGTAAATTTCTAACTGTAGTGAGGTTTAGTGTTAAAAACTTAAAGTAAGAACACATGTTAATTTATACATTTATTAATTGAATTTAAATTAAAACTACTCAAAATAAAATTTTGTATGTGTTATGTAAAATATACGTAACATTAAATAAACAGGTGTCTGACCAATAAGTGCCCGCATTGAAAAAAAAAATAAGAGGGATAAAATAAAAAAAAGTGAAAAATAATAAAAGCCAGAATTGCTGATATCCGTTTTTAAACTGAACCTTAAGTTCTTCGTTTGTACTCAGTTCAGTCAGTTCCTCTTGTATTATGAGATTATGACATTCGTTTCTTCTATGTAACCATATGGATTAATTATCCACGGTGGTATTACCATAGTCAAAATATCCTCAAACCTAGATTCAAAATCTGAATAGAGGGCATTTTAAATGTTGAGCGTAAGTTGAAACGTCGTCTTCCTGGCAGCTTGTCTGTGACAAATTGGGGAACTGAGAAAATTCGCCCCGTCCAACATTTTGCTTCATTAGTTTAACTCTGGCAAGAAACGCTGATAAGATGGACTTTGTTTTAATCAAATTTAAATTGTCTACTTGTAATTGCAAGTTAACCATATTAAATTTTGTAAACAAATCTGTCAAATAGGCGATCTCTGTTTTCCTCTTCATTATTTTTTCTTTCAAAATTTTATCTTTAGTATCCAGAAGTTCTAAAATAGTCTCAAAAAGTGCAAAAAATCTTGTCAAACATAAGCCTTTCGACAGCCAGCGTACTTCAGTGTGAAGGAGTAATTGATGAAAGTGTTCGTCATTTTGTTCACACAACTGCGCAAATAACCGCGTATTCAACGCTTTGCTTCGGATTCGGTTTACTGCATCAATGACTAAATGAAGTGATTCATGCAATCTAACACTCAAATTTTTAGCAACTAAATATTGTCGATGGTTGACGCAATGTATTGCTAACACCCCCGACACATTCTGTTTTAAATAGCTTATAAATCCACGATAACGTCCAACCATGGCAGGTGCTCCATCTGTAGCTACTGATATTATATTTGATAAAAAATTGCTTTTTTAATGAAGTAATCCTTCAAAACATGAAATATTGATTCACCTTTAGTGTCGGTTATCAAAGTTCTTGCGAAGAGCAGTTCTTCGTAGATTGCTTGATTCATAATAAAACGAACATATGCCAATAATAATGCTGCATTATCAGGGAAAGTTGACTCGTCCAGTGGTATAGAGAAATGGGTCGTTTGCAAATAATTACATAAGAAGCTTTCAATATCAGAACTCATTTCATCAATACGTCTTTCAACAGTATTGTTGATTAAAGGAATTCTTTTAATGATATCAGATGCAGGTTTGTGTAAAACAGTTTTTAAAACCTCTTCAACGGCTGGCAAAATTAACTTCTCTCCGATAGTATGCGGTTTTCCGGATTTTGCTATAAGTAGCGAGATATTGTAAGACGCCCGCAAACCATCATCATTTCTTTGTGACGTCGAAGCGAACATTCTGTCCAGTGTAGGTCTCTTCTGAAATTTATCTTTGAGTGTTTGAAAGTATTTCAAATTTTTCTCTGTTTTATCAGGGTGGCATCTTCTCAGATGATCTTGCAGTTTAGATGGTTTCATAGCGCATTGCCCAAAACTTTGTTGCATAAAAGGCACATAGACGATTGTTTGTCCGGCAATGATGGAATGAAGCCAAATTTCAGATAATCAACACTATAATGTCTACATTTCTTTTTAGATTCGGACATGGCATCAGTCATCTGTGGGCAAAATTAAATTATTTAAATAAGACAGAAAATCCAGCAGCTGTATATAAAAAATATTTTTTGATTTTTCCGAAAACATTCCATAATTCGAACATCTTCTTGCAACAATTAGCTCGAATTACGGAGATTGCACTGTAATTATATTACCGATTGTTAAAACTTTCAAAAAGAAACTATTGAGGAGTACTCGTGTACTTTTGCATGATTGAATATTTAACTACTAACAACTAAAGTCATGATTGTCGTAATTTATCTATCTTTGCTAATTACGAGTACAAAACTAAAATTTAATAAAAAATAATGTACTTACTTTTCTCCAGCACTCTCAAACAAAATAACACTGACTCACTATAATTTGTGTGATATATGATATATGTTTATATTTTTTAAAATATTTTCTTAGCACTTTCCTTTTCAAGATTCAGGAAACGAATACACGTATTTGTCCCACATTCGTATTTATAGAGTGACGAATTGAAGTCAGTGCAAGGTAGCGAAGCTTTGAGACTGCGACTCTCAGGTTTTTACAAGTTCAAAATGTATTGCGACCACAAAGCGAATGCCAACATCCTACAACTTACACAATTTTATAAACATATATAATAAATGTTTTACTTCATAGGTACTTTTATAAATAATGTATATGCCGCACTTATTTATAGAAACACAGGGCGTTAGTCGGGGTAAGGGCTGAAAAATTCAAAATAAATAAATATCAACTGACAGTAAAGTGAGTAAACAAAATTTTGTTTCCAAGGGCATCAAGGGCATCTAATTATTGTTTTGTGTTTGTTCAAATTAAAACCAATAAATCTTGCGCCAAAACTTTTAGCACACACGTTTCTTAGAATTAATCTCACGAAGATCTGAAATGCAAAAAGTCTTTTCTCTAACGATATTACTTGAAGGCCGCAGATGCTGTTAAGCCGCGTTACTCGCCAGCTAAACCCTACGTGTATCCAATCAATGGCCGTTATTAGTATAACTTTTGTGAAAAACCTTCTGGCAAGTCCAAGGGCGAACGGAGCTTTTCACGCAAAGTGTACGTCGGGTTGCGTGTCAGCAATTACGTTTTTCTCGAGGAAGGAAAAAGCTCCGCCGACGGGCGTCAGTGAAAGAACAAAGCACCTGAACGGTTATTTCGTGTTGTAGGTACAGAGAGCGCTGCTCGGGATGCGAGGGCAAGGAATGAAAATAATAAAGTCTTCCGGCGAAATGAATTTGTACAAAGGGATTATTGCAAAAAGAGAATGTGGGGGTAAGGTATGTCTGCACAGCAGAGATGGGTCGCTCCTGAACGAACTGTACCGTCGAGATGTTACCGATTCCGATGATTTTTATTCAGGCCGTTTTGATTCTGATTACCATGATTTGAATTGGCTTTGGTGGTTTCATATGCCTGTGGTTTTGATTTTGATAATTCCGATTCTGATTTTGATGGTTTCTATTCCGATTCCGGTGCTTTGAATTCCGATGATTACGATTCTTGCAGTTTCGATTTTGCTACCGTTGAGTTCGGTTTCGACTCTGAAGGTTCTCATACCGAGGATTGCTATTCCGATTCTGGCGGTTTCGATTCTGATTCCGATGTTATCAATTCCGACTCTGAAGATATCGATTCTGGTTATTCAGATTCTGATTAAAATGATTTAAATTCCGATACCGATGGTTTCGATTCCGGTAATTCCAACTCTGGTGGTTTTGATGCCGATCATTTCGAGTACCATTCTGGTAGTTTTGACTTGGTGATTTCGATTCCAACGATTTCCATTTTGGCGGTTTCGATTCTGATTCCGATGATTCCAATTCCGATTCCGGTGGTTTCAATCACGATTATTACGATTCTGGCGGTTTCGATTCTGATTCCGATGATTTCAATTCCGACTTTGGTGGTTTCATATGCCTGTGGTTTTGATTTTGATAATTCCGATTCTGATTTTGTTGAGTTCGGTTTCGACTCTGAAGGTTCTCATAGCGAGGATTGCTATTCCGATTCTAGCGGTTTCGATTCTGATTCCGATGTTATCAATTCCGACTCTGAAGATATCGATTCTGGTTATTCAGATTCTGATTAAAATGATTTAAATTCCGATACCGATGGTTTCGATTCCGGTAATTCCAACTCTGGTGGTTTTGATGCCGATCATTTCGATTCCCATTCTGGTAGTTTTGACTTGGTGATTTCGATTCCAACGATTTCCATTTTGGCGGTTTCGATTCTGATTCCGATGATTCCAATTCCGATTCCGGTGGTTTCAATCACGATTATTACGATACTGGCGGTTTCGATTCTGATTCCGATGATTTCAATTCCGACTTTGGTGGTTTCATATGCCTGTGGTTTTGATTTTGATAATTCCGATTCTGATTTTGATGGTTTCTATTCCGATTCCGGTGATTTGAATTCCGATGATTACGATTCTTGCAGTTTCGATTTTGCTACCGTTGAGTTCGGTTTCGACTCTGAAGGTTCTCATACCGAGGATTGCTATTCCGATTCTGGCGGTTTCGATTCTGATTCCGATGTTATCAATTCCGACTCTGAAGATATCGATTCTGGTTATTCAGATTCTGATTAAAATGATTTAAATTCCGATACCGATGGTTTCGATTCCGGTAATTCCAACTCTGGTGGTTTTGATGCCGATCATTTCGATTCCCATTCTGGTAGTTTTGACTTGGTGATTTCGATTCCAACGATTTCCATTTTGGCGGTTTCGATTCTGATTCCGATGATTCCAATTCCGATTCCGGTGGTTTCAATCACGATTATTACGATACTGGCGGTTTCGATTCTGATTCCGATGATTTCAATTCCGACTTTGGTGGTTTCATATGCCTGTGGTTTTGATTTTGATAATTCCGATTCTGATTTTGATGGTTTCTATTCCGATTCCGGTGATTTGAATTCCGATGATTACGATTCTTGCAGTTTCGATTTTGCTACCGTTGAGTTCGGTTTCGACTCTGAAGGTTCTCATACCGAGGATTGCTATTCCGATTCTGGCGGTTTCGATTCTGATTCCGATGTTATCAATTCCGACTATGAAGATGTCGATTCTGGTTATTCAGATTCTGATTAAAATGATTTAAATTCCGATACCGATGGTTTCGATTCCAACGATTTCCATTTTGGCGGTTTCGATTCTGATTCCGATGATTCCAATTCCGATTCCGGTGGTTTCAATCACGATTATTACGATTCTGGCGGTTTCGATTCTGATTCCGATGATTTCAATTCCGACTTTGGTGGTTTCATATGCCTGTGGTTTTGATTTTGATAATTCCGATTCTGATTTTGATGGTTTCTATTCCGATTCCGGTGATTTGAATTTCGATGATTACGATTCTTGCAGTTTCGATTTTGCTACCGTTGAGTTCAGTTTCGAGTCTGAAGGTTCTCATACCGAGGATTGCTATTCCGATTCTGGTGGTTTCGATTCTGATTCCGATGTTATCAATTCCGACTCTGAAGATATCGATTCTGGTTATTCAGATTCTGATTAAAATGATTTAAATTCCGATACCGATGGTTCCGATTCCGGTAATTCCAACTCTGGTGGTTTTGATGCCGATCATTTCGATTCCCATTCTGGTAGTTTTGACTTGGTGATTTCGATTCCGACGATTTCCATTTTGTCGGTTTCGATTCTGATTCCGATGATTCCAATTCCGATTTCGGTGGTTTCAATGACGATTATTACGATTCTGGCGGTTCCGATTCTGATTCCGATGATTTCAATTCCGACTTTGGTGGTTTCATATGCCTGTGGTTTTGATTTTGATAATTCCGATTCTGATCTTGATGGTTGCTATTCCGATTCCGGTGATTTGAATTCCGGTAATTACGATTCTGGCGGTTTCGATGTTACTTCCGTTGAGTTCAGTTTCTGATACCGAGGATTGCTATTCCGATTCTGGTGGTTTAGATTTACATGATTCCGATTCTGGCGGTTTCGATTCTGATTCCGATGTTATCAATTCCGACTCTGAAGATTTAGATTCCGACGATTTCGATTCTGGTTATTCAGATTCTGATCAACATGATTTAAATTCCGATACCGATGGTTTCGATTCCGGTAATTCCAACATGGTGGTTTTGATGCCGATCATTTCGATTCCCATTGTGGTAGTTTTGACTCCGATACTGGTGATTTCGATTTCGACGACTTCCATTTTGGCGGTTTCGATTCTGATTCCGATGATTCCAATTCCGATTCCGGTGGTTTCAATCACGATGATTACGATTCTGGCGGTTCCAATTCTGATTGCGATTATTTCAATTTAGACTCTGGTGATTTTTGTTCTGATGACTTCTGGCGATTTTCATTCTGATTCTGGCAGCTTTGATTCCAATTACAGTGATTTCAAATCCGAATCAGGTAGTTTTGATTCCGATGATTTCGATTCTGGCGGTCTCGATCTTGGTTTGGATTATTTTCCGACTATATTAATTTTGATTCCCATTCTAGTGGTTTTGATTCCGATATTCCGATTCTAACAGTTTCACTTCTGATTCCGATGGTTTCAATTCCGACTCTGTTGGTTTCGATCCCGACGATGATGATTCTAATGCCGATGATTTTAATTCCGACTGTGGTAGTTTCGGTTCCCATGATTACAGCTCTGACGGTTTCGATTTTGAAGCCGATGATTTCAATTCCGACTTTTGTAGGTTTGATTCCGATAATTTCGATTCTGATGATTCGCTGTTCCGGCGCTTTCGATTCTGATTCCGATGACCTCAATTCCGATTTTGTCGGTTTCGATTCTGATTCCAATGTTTGCAGTTCCGACTCTGATGGTTTCAGTTCCGAAGATTTCGATTCCCATTTTGGTGGTTGTGATTCCGAT